TAGAGGGCAGTGTCACTGGCCCTCATATGTGGGATCCGAACCGGGGCCCTCTGGCATCCCAAGCCAGTTCTTAACCATCGCGCCACTCGGCCGGCCTTCATTGTCATTGATTTTTAAGTATTTGTAATCTGCACTTTAATTTATTTTCTAACAATGGTGCTTTAAAATTACTAATTGGCTAAAATTTAGGCTATTCTTTTGTGGTAAATTTCTCATTTTATTGCATGGTGGTCAGTAACTATGTCCTGTGCAGCTTATATTGTCATATATATATTTACTGTATATGAATATATACTGTATATCTACAGTAAAACCTTGAATTGAGAGTAACTTGGTTTGCGAGTGTTCCACAAGATGAGCAAACATTTCTAATACATTTTAACTTGGTAAATGAGCAATGTCTTGCAATACAAGCAGTTTCTTTCCAGATTAAATTAAACTCGCAAGCCAAGGTATTACTGTATATAATTTTTTCTATGTGGCCTAATAAATGGTCAGTTTTTAAGGCAGTCCATTGATATTTGAAAATAATTTATTATCTGTGTACAAAATTACACACACAAATGTATATAAAGGTCAAGTTTATTAGTTATTTTTTGTCTACTTTATCTTCAATTTCTGGAACAGTTGCCCTAAAATCTCTCTCTGTAAAAGTGGTTTAGTCAATGTGCTGCTGTATTTCCAATAAGTTTTTTATTATAAATTTTAATGATGTCTTTTTAAGGGTACAAATAATTAAAATATAGAAAATTTTGGAGGTTTTTAAAAAATCAATGTAAAAATATGTCCCTTTCAGCCCAATCTGAGTTTTTGTCTCTAGACAATGTTTTTTTTTAAATCCATTTGCATATATTATAGTTTATATGGAATAAAAAAATAGATCCCTATCATTCATTCACCAAACACAAACATAAATTCTAGGTGCACTGAAGATCTAAATGTAAACACAAACACTAAAATATTTAGAAAAAAATGTAGAAGACTATCTTTGTGATTTTAGCATAGGGAAGGATTTCTTTTTAAAAACACCAATTATAGAGGGAAAGATTGATACATTGGACCACTTATAAGTCAAAATTTGGATATGACAAAATACATTTTTTATATATATATATATATATATATATATATATATACACACACACACACACACACACACACACACACAGACTGGAGGAAAGATATTTGCAGCTTATGTAACCAATAAAGAGTTAGTTAACCAATTACAGCTATACAACCAATGAGAAATATGAATTTAGTCTTTCTACAATATATACATTCTGGCATTGGATATTTTTATTTTGGAAGCAAATAAAAGTAAATGTATATGTTTTGTTTGTTATTATTGTCAAATGAATCAGTCAGTTTATTTTTAGGCTTTGTAAAGTACAAACATTTCAAGTTAAAAATAAGAATTTCTGAAGGCCATGTGCAAGATAATAGGGAGTCCATGATGGGTACCATATTAGTGGAAATACCTGAAAATTGGTACTAGCAGATGATGACTGTGCCAATTACAGAAAATACCCCTAGCATAGGTCTATAGGATAAATCCAAGACTATGAGTGCCACGCCACTATTAAACAAGGGCAGATTTTGTGACTGAATTGTTTTTAAATGTATTTTTAACTGTAGAAGTGAACCACATTAACTAGATTTTTGTTAGAAAACAGGTTTGTCTCCATGGTCAGAGCATTTCAATTTGGCTACTCTCCAAAAGGTTTTTGGAAGAAAGAGAAAAAGAAATTATTTCTATGACCTAAAATAGTAAAGATTACCATAATCTGTCAGAGCTCAAACATACTCAAATGCAAATTATTCAGTGTGAAACTAAGTAAACATTATTTTTCACTCAGTGGGTTTTAAGTTAATAATACCATGAATTTTAGTGAAATTTTAATATAACAAAGTTTGATACCTACTTTTCGAGGTATGGATTTGAAGTTCAGTCTGTGCATCCAAACTAAGTGTGTCCACATTTGGATCTACACGTGTGGAACCAGGAGCGAGAGAATTGCTAGTTCCTATGAGAAGGAAAGATATATGTTTTAAAAGTCTGCATTTTCATGAATAGAACATTATTTATGGCTGATCACAGAATGCTGTCTCCTATTACAAGCACTGTTACAAAACAAAAAGCTCACCTTTCTGCACAGTGAAGCGAACACTTGTAAACGCAGTGCTTCCTTCAGGGGCACTAACAGACTGTATTGCTACATTAGGACTCACCACTGTCTGGTTGCCCATTGATAAGGAATAATCCCCCAATTGCGTAGTAAGCCTGCACAGAATAAAACATAACAACTTAATATTCTAGAGATTCATTGTAAAATCGGAGGTCTGCGTTCTCTCCCACATTCCAGTAGGAAGGCATGGCCACAGAACTCATGTGATCACAATGACATTGACACAATCACCTAAAAAACATTGATTTTCTTTAACAGAGTTTTCCTTTGTTATATATATATATACTATTTTTTAAAGTTCTGGTGGACTGTCCCCACTGAAGGGTAGCTTGTAATTGATGCCAGCAAGCTGGAACTCAAGAATGACAAATTCCCCAATAGAAATAATCTTTATTATGCTGCTCTTCACGTAGAAGGATGGTGTTGCCACCCACAATTGGCCAGGTATGAGATTCTTTTTCTCCAGTGGTGAGAATCAATTTCCACTTAATCAACTTTTTCCTCTCACCCAAACCCCATGGACTCTAAAGCATCTCTTGTAAGCTGTTCGGTCCTGAGGTGAAAGTTCATATGGAACTGTGGAAGAACAGAACTCTGAGCTTATTGCCTTGGCTATTACCAAAATATTGCAGGTTTTCTCAATATTCTTTTCTACTTTGGATAAGTTCAAAGATAGATTGGATGGAAGGTGGGAGAGAGTGGGGGGAACCTGACAATTTGGTGTCCTCCAAAAAAAAAGTCATAAGACATTTCCTTTTTCTTGTTTCCTATTAGAAATATTTGCACTATTTCTGTACTTGGCAAAACAAAATCTCTATGTCGAAGATAACTGGTTCAATCTAGCTTTCTCAGAAATGAAAGAATTCATTAAAATGTAATTGTTCAAAATTCTAAATCTTTATTGCTGTCACTGAAATGTTTTCCCTCCCTTAAGTGAGATAAAAAGAAAAATAAATTTTTAAATAAAGATTGCTTTGTAGAGAGGATGTGATAATCATTTATATGAAAACATTCAAGCTGGCTTCACTGTTTCAAAAGTTTTCCTTTCATAACACCATTTTCTGTAATTTTCAGCACTTCACACTATGTATTTCCCACTTAATGAAGAACATACTCCAGAGCTACTTTCAACTGGAAGAATACTTAAAAAAACACCAATCTGCTAAGAGCATACTTCATGCATTCATGCAACCAACAATATCTGTTGGGCACCTACTAAGAGGTCAGTATCCTGGGAAACACCAGGAATACTAATAGAAGCTCCCTTAGACATTTGAAGGCTAAAGAGTAAGATGTACTAAATACATGGAGGTGTTTGCCATGCTCACAACCACTTTCAGAGGATTGCTCTAATTACAGCCATTTCTAAAGCCATTTTTTTTTTCCATATGAATTTTACCTCCTCTTGCCATAATTGATTGGATTACAGATGGGTGCCTGCCTCAGAGTACCCAGTCTGGAGGCTGGCCATCAACTGGATACAAATGACTAGAAGAAGCAATCAGAATTTTTCACGCAGGAACTTTCCATTTCATGCAACAGTTATATTAGGAAAGTCGTGGTTTAGAAGGGACCAGAGAAGTCATTATATCATTTGTAAGGATCTATACTTGTATAAATTGAACACAAGAGGTTTAATTCTTCTTGTTGAAAATAAGGGAAGAAATTTCCCTCCCCTCCTTTTTCGTAGAACATTTACTCTATAAAAGTTGTAAGTACTTTCTCCTCTTTACAATGTAAATAAATCCTTTTGAAGACTAGATGGGCATCTTGTCAGCTTTGTGACCTAGGAATGTCTTTCTCAAGGACATGGGAGCTATATCTTTGAAATGTAAACATCAAGGGAGGTAGCACCCCTATCTTCCAGTTTCTGTGGGAGAGTAGGAGCTTTTAACTTCAGTGGGTGGGCACCTTGCTCCAAGTTGCTAAACTACCTCCTGTAATAAAGATAGAGAAATTTGTTTTTCATCTGGATAGAGTCAATTAGCTAACACAAATGGTCATCTCACTTACCAGGTAAACTTAGGATGTACTATGCATGACGAATAGTGCTGTCAAGCTCTCTTAATTAAAGATTAATTATTGTTTATCTGAAAACATGGACATAATAGGTTATATATGCTTGTGTATCTAAAAGAGAGATTCCTTTCTGTTTGCAACTTCTTAGGGTTTGCTTGTGATGCTCATTGTATTCTGGCTTAATGCTTACTCAGTGACAAAAGTGTTTTCTTTCTCTACTAATTTTTTTTTTAAAGATTTTATTGGGGAATTGGGGGAGGAGAACAGCGTTGAGGAATCGAGGAAGGGGAACAGACAAGGACAAGTTGCTGTCCTTTTGTTCTTCAGTCTGGTTGTGGAGGACGTTGCTTCACTGGCCCATATTGGTATTATCATTGCGCTCTTCCCAGGTGAGGCAGCCACCCACCGGCCATTGGACAGCCACTCATGGTGGCTCATGGTGGCTCACAAGCTCAAGAAAGCTCACACCCAATGCCGGCCAGCCCCACTGCAGCCTACACCTCGCTGGTGACTCACAGTAGCCCAGCCCCAGGTCAAGCTGTTGTTCACCAACTCAGCTGTAGAGGGTGCAGCGTCACCGGCCCTCACATGGGATCCAAAGTGGGGCCCTGCTGCTCAGAGCTGGCCTCTCAAGCCAACTCTTAACCAATGCACCACTTGGCCGGCCCTCTCTACTACTTTTTGAAGAGCATTTCTGAGTTAGAAGAAGATTTGGTTTTAATTATATTTCCCCAACATCATAAACAGAGCTAATTATTAGAGAGCATAAACTAGAGGTAAAGATGTTTATTGAGTCGTTAATGATAAAGGCAACTGCTAACCTTATTTTTTTCAAGACTGAATATGTATAATCAGGTGTGATGCTAGTGATTTACATACATCATCTCATTGGAGCCTCACAAGAATTCTACTAAAGTGAGTTCCCAAATTATTCGCATATTACACTGAAGAACTGAGACTCTTCAGAGAGATAGGAAGTGATTTAGCCAAAATCATGTAACTACTAAATAACAATATTAAGATTGAACCCAAGGCTGTCTGACTCCAAAGGCTGTGGCTACAGCCATTATATTATTCCAGAGGGAAGACCCACAAACTCCTCTACTGATACCTTCAAAGTTGCCATGGATGTCTTGCCATCCCCCTGTTCCAGGGTCTACATGGTGCAGCTGTATTATGATCCTGTCTTTAGGTCCCCATGAGATTCCATATGTCCCTTTACAATGGATCTCTATTTGTTTGATATAATTTAATTGTGTGTCTTGTAACCAAAGAAGGCTGGCTGGCTGGAACAGAAAATACAAACAAATGTGAAATGTAAATGTTTGAGGTGGTCTGTATTAGGGAAACAGTTTTGTATTCCCAAAGTTAAGTAAACAAGGATAATTATGAGCTTGAATGTGTCAGCAAAGTTTCAAGGTTATGGGTCTTTATACCAAATGTTTAAAATGGAAAAATTAGGTCTTAGATTCATTGATTATAGTAGGCTGCCCTTACCAGCAAAAACTCTGCCTGAGGCTCCAGAGCTCCGCCCACCTCAACATTCTGCCACCTTCCAATTTAGGAAAAGAGAATGGGTAAAGGGGTGCTAGAGAACTTTACTACAACAACTTGAGATGGCCAAAGCTGGGATGGATTCTTTCCTGTCATTCTCCTTCCTTTATTAGTCTCACCTTCTCCACTTGTCCCACTATATATGGAAGGGCTTGAGGAAACTATGAATGAAAGAAGAAAGAAGTCAAAGTGAGATGGAAGACTAAGGCCTCGTGTCTGTGAGGAGACCCTGCACCTAGGTTCAGGGCATGAAGTTTGGGAAGGAAGAGTTGCCCCAAGCAACAATTACTTTCCTTGTCTGGGGAAAGAGGGGAGTGAGAGATGACCTCTGTTGGCAGCTCATCAAGAATGTTCTCCTGGGGCCGGCCGAGTGGCACATTGGTTAAGAGCTGGCTT